GCTGTTACGTATCGCAGCAACGGGCCGACCCGCTCCATGAGGCGTCTACGTATTGACGTCTATGTTTTATAGTACTATAGAACAGACTCCAGACTGCCCCTGGTGGTGTGGAGGACTTCCTTTTTGTGGAGCCGCAGCTTGTTTTTACCATTTAGCTGCATTTTTCTGTTGTGTGCCTTTAGTCTCAGTTTGGTTTATTTATATATCAACAATTCACAACAAAAGCATTTTTAAAAAGTAATCACTTCATTTCAGTCACTCAGTCATTCGCCTGATGCTAGTTAGCGCAGTGAGCCAACTTCATTACTCACATCAGATTAAGTTTCTAAGGAAACTCACTCCTCCTGACCAGCAGGGGGCGGCAGCAGAAAATCACTGCTTTCTCATGCCGATTGTCCTCAGAGCAGAGACTTTAACTAGGCCACTGAGCATCAGCAGACGGTAATGGTGTTGTTCTCTTAGGGAGCATTATGTGAGCATGGTGAAGTGGATCAGTAAGACCCGGACGGCGGTGCGCTGGCTGAACCGGGCCCAGAACGTCTCCATCCTGACGGTGTGTGACACCACCACCGGAGCCTGCGTCACGGTGCGTCCTCTCCTCACGCCGCACTCCACACGCTGCAGACAAACCTCCAGAATCCGCCGGTATCTGACCAGAACCAGTGCTGACTTCTGCAGAGTTGATGAGTCTTGGTTTAACAATGTAGCACGCCCCGGTACTCTGACACCTCCAAATAAAATGTGCTGAAGCCTTCAGATGGCTACTTATCAGAACCAGAGTCCAGGAGCCTCATGCATAAAAGAATGAGCAGTTTTCACACTAAAACTTGGAGTACGGAAAAATGTAGAAAAATGCGGAATAAATGGGATGCATAAAGCCGCAGGTGGCCGCGCACCTTTCCTTTATTGATCCTAATTTGTGGTAAACAGAGCAGCTGCTGCTCCTCCATAAATACATATTAATGTAATTAGTATAAATACCGGAAGTCTGCCACCACGTGGGGTAGTAACCATGGCAACGGCCTTGTTTGTAGCGATATGAGTATCTATAATAATAATTATTATATATTTTATTTAAAAGGTGCTTTAAGGGCACATAATGTCACCTCACAAAAACAAAAATACGTTTTAAAGAAAAAAACAATCCAAATTAAAAAAATAATAAAAAGAGATCCTGCAAATGCCTGTCTGAACAGCAGCAGAGCGTTCAGCCGGGATTTAAAGAGACAGAGGGTCTTTGGGGGGAAACTGGACGTTTATTCTAAATAGTAGAATCATGTGTATAAGTTGTACATTTACAGAATAAAGATGCTTTATGTCCATAAGGCGCTTTCACAAAGCGGGCGGCTCGATGGCTGCAGCTGGACCGGTACCGGTACCGCTCGGCTCTGTCTTTAAGTTCTGCTCAGAGACCCAGGTTGATCAGTCTGGATGAATCTAAACACCAATAAACCATCAGATCAATATGATCTCTGATCAATCCTCCCTCTGTTCTCCATCAGAGCCAAAGCTCCACATTACGGCTCACCTGGATGCAGCTACTGATATCCGTGTGACTGCAGACACACCTGGATCACCTCAAATAATCAAAGCTGTTGATTAGTTTCACTCAGCAGGTTGGAGTTAATCTGCTGATCCAACCCTGTTTTCTTCTTTCAGTGACAGATCAATGTGTTACATCTTTATGAGACAAAAACTGAGGAAAAGTGCTATTTACATTCTAGCGAGGTTTTCACATCCTTTTATTTTTATTTTGTGTTCGTGTTAGCTTATTGTCTGAGGATGAATGGGTTCAGTTTCATCGTTTAACAATAAAATATTAAAATCATGAAAAACATTGGTTTGGTGCTTCTTGGTCTAAATAACTGAATGTAGTCAGACTTCATTGATTTTAGGTGAGTTTTGACACTTTGTAGTTTCATATTATTCACAGAAAACATTTGTGTGGCTGCCGCACATTTTCACCCAGCGAAAAAGTGTGCGTATATTTACGCAAACCTTGACGCAAAGTAAATTTTTATACATGTCGACTTTTGTGTAAAATATGGGACCGCACATTTTTTGTGCGCACGCCGCTTTATGCATGAGGCCGCTGGTGTTCAGGTTTGTAGTTAGCTGCTTTTGGACAAACTCTCTGAAAAGTTGCTGGATGTAGCGGTAAAGTTAGCAACAGGGCTACCTAACTGGGCCAGGCGGTTCTGGTTGGACCGACCTGGTTCTGGTCCAAGAGAAAGTCTTTGGCTGCACTGACAAAACAACCCAATAGGAGAGGCTTTTATTGTGAAGGGGCTAACCTTGTGCTCTTTGTGTTGCAGAGACACGAGGAAAGCTCGGAGCTGTGGCTGTCTAAGCAGGTAAACCTTCATCATCATTTAAAAAGCTGATTCAGTTTTCTGTTATTTCTGAGAATCATTCATATTTATAGTAGAAACTGAAGCATTAAGTTATAACTTCCTCTGTGGAGGAAACAGGTCGACGTGCTGCAGGAACAGTGTCTAAAACAGAAGCCTGCCCCTGGTGGTAGCAATGAAAATTACAACCTACGCTGCCCAATAAGCTCACCTTCAGAGAACCAACACTAGGGGGCGCCGCCAGCTAGCTACGCTAACCCCAACCACTAGTCATAAACATTAGTCAGCTAACGCTGAATTACAAGACAAAGAAAAAAAATTATTACATGCATAAAGTCATAATAATTACAAAAACGACAAAAAAAATAATTTCAAGAAAACAGGCGTAGCAATACAAGATGGAAACTTATTTATTGAATAAATTCAGATGTAGCAAATGCTGCCATCCACTGGTGGGTCTGAGCACTACCAGAGGGACCAACCTGAAACATTTAAACCCTCCAGCTGGGCAGGACTCTCTCTACTGCATGCTAGCTAGCAACTTCTACTTCCTGTTTACTACAGCCATGTGTAGCATCAACGCTAGCCTGGTTAGCTTGGTTTGTATACTCTGAACTAGGACATGGAGACATTTTCACATTTTCCTCTTCTTTCTTTTTTGGAACATTTCAGAAGTTTGATCAGAATTCACCCTTTCAAAATAAAAGCATGAATATAATCCTCTAATTACTTAACGAATTATTAACTGTCGATAAACTTCATCACAGACATCGACTTTACAAAACTGTCAAGAAAATTAGCTCTTTATAATCCACGTAAGCTAATGCACTAAACGTTTTCAAAGTTAGCTAACGCGCTAAGCTAACAGGCGGTTCTGACCCACAGCCGGTTCTGTCTCGTCTCTCCAGAACCAGCAGCCTGTGTTCTCCAGGGACGGGTCCCGGTTCTTTCTGACCGTCCCGGTGAAGCAGGGCGGACGGGGCGAGTTCCACCACATCGCCATGTTCACCACGCAGGTCAGGCTCCGCCCACCCACGCACTGACACGCCCACGGCCTCCAGTTGCCATGGTAACCCCAACCGGTGCTGTGTCCACTCCAGTTCCGGGCGGATCAGAATGAGGTCCGACACCTGACCTCTGGGAACTGGGAGGTGACCCGGATCCTGGCCTACGACGAGCCCAATCAGAACCTGTGAGTACCGCAAGGTTGGTTCTGACCCAGAACCAGTTGGAACCTCTGGAACAGAGTAAACCGGTTTAGTCAGAACCAGACTGACTGCTTCCTGTCTCTTTACAGTTACTTCCTGAGTACTGAAGGGTCGCCACGGCAACGGCAGCTCTACAGGTCGGCCTCTCTAAACATTTCAAGGAAGCGGTTCTGTTTGACCCGGTAACCAGTTTGGACCGGCTGATTGTTTTATTGTCTTTACTCTGCTCAGCGTTAAAACGGTGGGTTTGTTTCCACGGCGATGCCTGACCTGTGACCTTCACAGAACCAACTGCCTCTACTTCAGCGCCGACCTCAGCCCGTCCAACCAGAACCTGCTGCTGCACTGCCAAGGTAGGCCCACTTCAGGAGCGGTTCTGGTGGAGTGAGGTTCAGTTGGAGCAACAGACTGGGTTCTGATGGGTTGGTTTGGCCCAAACTGATAGAGCTGTGGTTCTGGTTCTGGTTCTGCTTCCAGTACACAAACATAACTGACAGCTGGTCCTGCAGCAGATCTTCTCTGGGTCACTGTTCAACCCGGTCCATCACGGTTCCCCATCAGAACCGATCTGCTGTGATCTGGACAGATGGTGCCTCCCCGGTCCAAAGTTCTCCCTCATGTTGTTAAGAACCAGGCCTGGTTCTGGTGCTGGTCAGACAGGCAGCTGCAGTGTAACTGTAATGTTAACCATGAACAGTATTTTGTTTGTTCTCCTCTCAGCCAATCAGCAGCCAGCGTTTCTTGACCTGCTGGTGTCTGTTCTCCTCTCAGCCAATCAGCAGCCACCGTTTCTTGACCTGCTGGTGTTTTCCTCCTGCAGGTCCTGAAGCTCCCACTGTGATCCTCCACAGCCTCAATAACTCCAGTAAGCTAACGCTCTGATAGCTGCTGCAGCTCATTGTCTGTTATTTTCGTCATGTGGTTTCACTTTTCTTACTTTAACCGTCTAGCTAACATTGGCATGTGATTAATATGGACTGTCCCTTTAAGACAGAAGTAAATTTGTGAATATACTATATTTTGTTTCCGCTCTCCACCAGACAAACCGTTGCTCTGCTGCAGATTATCGTGAATTTAATCTGTCGTATTCCTCCTCAGATTACTACATCCTGGAGAACAACTCGGTGCTGAAGGCGGTTCTGAAGTACAAACGGATCCAGAAGAAGGAGTACCAAACTGTCCGGGTCGAGCCTTTCGGTGAGAACAGGGCGCTGTGCTACTGCAGGATGCTACCTGCAAGGTGTTAACAGCAAGGTGCTAGTAGCAGGTGCTAGCAGCAGGAAGTTAGCAGCAAGGTGCTAGCAGCAGGGTACTAGCTGCAAGGTGCTAGCTGCAAGGTGTTAGCAGCTAGCACCTTGCAGCTGAATTCATGACTCAGCATCAGAGAAAAGCAGTGATGCTGCATCCTGATTGGTTGGTACTCGCATGACCAGCAGCAGGTCATGTGAGTACCTGCTGCTGGTACTCAGCAGCACGTACTTGCAGCTAGCTTCCACCATGCAGCAGGAAACTAGCTGCAAGGTGTTAGCAGCATGGTGCTAGTAGCAGGTGCTAGCAGCAGGAAGTTAGCAGCAAGGTTCTAGCAGCAGGGTGCTAGCAGCAAGGTACTAACAGCAGGGTGCTAGCAGCAAGGTGCTAACAGCAGGGTGCTAGCAGCAAGGTGCTAGCAGCAGGGTACTAGCAGCAAGGTGCTAGCAGCAGGGTACTAGCAGCAGGGAGCTAGCAGCAAGGTGCTAGCAGCAGGGAGCTAGCAGCAGGGAGCTAGCAGCAGGGTGCTAGCAGCGTCCTCTCTGATGCCTCCTTTGTGTTTCCAGATTTCCCTCTGCAGATCTGTTTCCCTCCAGACTTCTCTCCATTGCGTCAGTACAGCCTGCTGCTGGTCATGTGAGTACCAACCAATCAGGATGCAGCATCACTGCTTTTCTCTGATTCTGAGTCATGAATTCATGTCATAAACAAGTTAAGTACTTCATAGTTTAAAGGTTTAATTCTGGAGCTCTGGTTGACCAATCAGATGATTAGTTTGGTTGACCCTGATGTGCTGTGTGACAGGAAGTTGACGTGCTGTGTGGTGTGTGCAGTGACAGCGCCCCTGGTGGCCAGGCGGTGAGCGAGCGCTTCTCCCTGGGCTGGGACTCAGTGCTGGTCAGCTCGGACGGCGTCATCGTGGCCCGGCTGGACGGCCGGGGCAGCGGCTTCCAGGGCCAGCGGATCCTGCATGAGGTGCACCAGAGGCTGGGCACGGTGGACGTCCAGGACCAGATCGCGGCGCTGGAGTGAGTGCTGCTGCTGCGCCGCCAAAACCCAACGATTTCTGCAGGCTTTTATTAACCTTTTTTGAAAACCGTTGTTAAAATTAAAAGTTTGTATTCTTACATGTCAGATTTTAACCATTTAAAATAGTTTTATTGTGTTCTTCAGTTCATTAAAACTGCTGGAAATTGAAACTTAAATGAAGTAAAAATGAAAGTTCAGTGTCCTGCAGCTTGTAGTGAAAAACAAATAAAGTTTGGATGTTCAGGACGTCGGCCATGTTTTCCTGCAGGTTCATGATGAAGTTGTCCTACATCGATCGCTCGCGGATTGCCGTGTTTGGACAGGTGAGCAGACAGGAAGCAGCATGCTGACATCACTTCCTCTCAGCCTGGACTCACCAGTGTGTCGTGTTCAGGGCTACGGCGGCTACCTGGCGCTGATGATGCTGAAGTCGACAGACAGCCTGGTGAAATGCGCCGCCGCCATGTCGCCCGTCACCGACTGGAGGCTCTACGGTGAGTCAGCAGCTTTCAGACCGGAACGTCAGCTTCCCCACTAAAAATATTTTACATTTTTCAACATGGTATTTTACAAAGTATTTAAAAAATTGAATTGGGTTAAAATTTTGAACGCAATAAAATCTATGTAATTAATTTTTTTCTGTTTCTTTGTGTTTAGGAGACATGGTAGCTTCTCGCTAGCAGCATTTTGCTGTGTGCTAGCAGTGCGTTATCTGCATGTTAGCAGAACGTTAGCTCAGTGTTAGCAGCTGTCGGCCACTATAATAAACAAAAAGTTGCTCCATATCAGGGGAGAATAATAAACACTGGAAATGAACTCGGATCTCAGCTCAAGTTTTTCTGAAAACAGAAATTATTTGAAACCTGCAGGTTTCCTGTCCAGTTAGCAACCGCTAACTGTCTGTGGTTCCTTCCACAGCGTCGGCGTTCTCAGAGCGCTACCTGGGCCTGCCGGTACGGGATGACAGCAGATACCAGGTGAGCTTCCTGACCTTTGACCTCAGCAGAGCTGCAGCTCTTTCTGTCTGCTGAACATGACGATCCTGATCTGATGACTGAAATATTCATGGATTCTGTCTGTGTTGAGAGTCTTTTACAGGGCTTCTCTGAGTGTGTGTGTGTGTGTGTGTATTGGTGTGTTTCTGACCAGCCTGTCTCCCTGCAGGTGTCCAGCCTGCTGCAGAGCGTCCAGGCGCTCCGAGAGCAGACGCTGCTGCTACTGCACGCCACAGCAGACGGTGAGACTGAGAGTCCTGGGAGGGAAGGGGTTAATAAATCATCACTGCTGATGCAGCCTGGACCTGCAGAGGACAGCGGTTCTGATGAGTCCGTCCAGGCTTTGAGACCTGCTGACATGTTTTTCCTTTCTTTCTTTCTTTCTTTCTTTCTTTCTCCCTCTCTCCTTCCTTCCAGCAAACATTCACTTCCAGCATTCAGCTGAGCTGGTCAAGAGCCTGGTGAAGGCCGGAGCCAACTACTCCATGCAGGTACCCCCACATGCTAACATGCTGCTGCTAACAATGTAGAGCTAGCAGGCTAATGAGGAGCGTTGTCCTCATCTCCTCAGATCTACCCTGATGAAGGTCACTTCCTGTCGGCGCCGAGCCGCCAGCACCTCTTTGCGGCGCTGAGCGGTTTCTACAGGGAGTGTCTGAAGGAGGAGCTGCTGCCGCTGCCCGATGAAGACGAGGAAGAGGAGGAGTGACAGCTGGCGGTTCTCCGCCTGGACTCAGCCGCTGGAGCTGCTCCGGCTTGAATGAGCGCTTTGTTGTGTGAATGTATAAATATGTGGACATGAAGGACAGCGGGACGCCGCGGGGACAACAAGGGGCGTCATCGCCTCTAGCATCAACTTCTTCTTCTGGATCGCTCACGATCCCAGCTAAGCACACGGAGAACTTCCTACGTTTGTTCCAGGTTCTTCAGACTGCAGCCCTCCACACCCAACATGTGCACCACCGCCACGCTGGTCTCCATGGAGACGGCGACACCACCATCACCACATAACAGGATGGAGCTCCACCTGACACCGACACCATAAACCGATGGAAGCAACGCACTGCACGTATGAAGAAACAACGTCCTGTTAGCATCAGCTGTTAGCATTCTGTTAGCATTAGCTGTTAGTATCAACTATTAGCATCAGCTGTTGGCGTCCAGTTAACCTCCTGTTAGCTTTAGCCTTTAAAGGGACAGTCCTCCTGACAAACTGGGTTTCTGGACCAGTCTGAGCTGTGACCTTCTGCTGACCTTGGATGTCTGGGATGAAGAAGTGAAGCTTCATCTGCAGGTTCTGCTGCAGAACCGAAACCAGAACTTTCTCATTCTGGACCCATCAGTTGATGACATCAGAACTTCAGCTTCAAGAGTTTCCAGACAACCGGCCGATCTGACCTTTAACCTTCAGTATTCTAATAATCATCCCACAGTCCATTTCCTGCAATAAAGCAGCGAATCAGAACCGAGTCCGTAGTTACAGTCCAGTTCCAGAACCAAAGATCCAGTTTGGTTGTCCAGCTTACAGAAACCAGCACAGAGTTCTGTCAGAAAACACACCAGACTAAATAATAATAATAATCATAATAATCAGTGGTGGGCTCTGCTAGCTAAAGAGCTAGCTGTGCTAACTCTAACGCACAAATCATTGTTTCTGCTAACGCTAAAGTGCTAACTTGAGTTGGAATTATATTATCCCTTAAAACACCAAAACCTCCCAATTTATTTTGGACACAATTTAAATGTTCTGTTGTTGATATTGTGCTTGTTTATATTTTTGTCCATTTTATTTTGCTCCTGTATGTTTTTTTTTTTTTTTTTTTTTTTTTTAAACATGACAGGAAGCAGAACTGACATCACCTCCTTCAAAATAAGAGCATGAATGTAAATGTCTAAACTTGATATAATAAAACGTCAACTCAGATGTTAAACTTCAACTGAAAGTTTCCAAAACAACTAGATAAATTTATCTTAAATTAATTTATAAAAAGCTCAGAGTGCACAAATGCTAAACAGAAAGTTAGCTCGACTGTTAGCCGATTAGCTCCATTGTGTCCTGTGAAATCATAATAAGCCATAGATAGTAAAATATAATTATCTACCAATATATTGGAATTAGACAGCAGAAAAAACAATAAAAAATAAAACAAAGATTCAGATTTTTTTTAAGTTATCATTTAAGTTCCACCTTTTTGAGCTTTCTATCATGTTATAAAACACACCTGGAGTGTTTCCTTTATTGCAGGCTTGCTGCTCTAGAACTGGACCAGTTAACGTAACGGATGTTGTTGACGGACAGCAGCAAGGTTTAAATCTGGTCTAATTAAACCCAGACTGACCCAGTCCCATCAGCTTCGCTGAGCAAGTACATGGCGACAGTGGAGAGGAACTGGAGGCCTCCAGCTGTCTGGCTCTAATGTAGGTGTCATGGGACTGACGGCCAATCACACACCAGCTCCTGAACGCCTGAGCAGACATGAACCAAGCTGCTGCTGCTGCGAGGTCAAAAGGTCACATCCAAACAAATCTGAAAGGAGCATCAGTTTATCACTTCCACCAACAACTCTTTGTATATTTGTAATAAAAAATAAAAGTTCAAGTACGGTGCAACATTAGGGCCAAAATTAAGACAACAGCCCACCCAGCTGTAGCTACTTCCTGTTAGCATTGGAGAAGCTAACGATTAGCATGCCTAAGCTAGTCACCTGCTGATTTAAACATTTTTTTGTTTCAGATAAAAATAAAATGGGTTCACATTTTTTTAATTTGCCCTGATGGCGCTCTGCACGTTGGAACACGGCAGGTCCAGCTGCTGGTTCTGACCCAGCAGCTGGATCCAAGAGCTGAGTCAGAACCGGCTTAATTTTTAGCTTAATGCTTTAGCTAACTTTGAAAACGTTTAGCACACTTAGCTTCAACTAAGTGTAATTTTTCTGGATAAATTATAAGGCACTAATTTACTTTGTGGTTTTTGTAATAAAATTAAAGGTCCAGCTGCTGGTTCTGGTCCAGCTCGCCGCGCCACACAGCCCAGATTAATCGGATTTTCCCTTTAATCTGCACCTACTCAGGCTCTCCAGAGGTGGCGCTGCAGTCCGTGTTATTCCGATATGAACGGCAGGTTCGGATGAATCTGGTGTGGAGCCGTTTGGGTTCTGGACGGTTCTGGACGGTCCGGGCCGCCGGTAGAAGCAGGTTGTGGTGTTCTTCAAACTAATCTGGATCACTCCATGGTCTTCCGGCAGCAATTCCGGTGTTTGCATGTCCCTCGCGGGGAGCCGTAGGTTTGTACAGCGGAGTCCAGAGAACAGAAATCTATTTTCAGATTCTCAGAGATTCAGTCCATGATTCTCCTGGATTCTTGTATATTTCTTATTGTTTCTGTTGGGCGGTTGGTTGATTTTTCCTCCTAGGATGGATTTTATAATTTTGCTTGTTCTGGTTCTTTTTGCTGTACTGGGCGGGTCGGGTCGGGTCGGGATTATTGTGATTGTCCTCTGGTGATGATTATAAATGAATAAAAAATTTAAAACTTTGGACCTGGTGTGTTCTTCTCTTCTCCCAGATCAGAACCAGTTTCCACACCGTGATGGGAACACTGAGCCAAACTGGGCATACTGGGAGGCTCCTCCTAGTGGCCTAGTCAAAGTCCAGACCATGAGTTAGCTGAGATGCTGCGGTGGGCTCGGGCTTTATTCTGGTCTGTGTTTCACATTAAAGCTCCAGGACATGACATCAGAGTTCTGTCTGCACAGGTGGCCATCTTGGAATCAACCTGAGAAAGTTTGGCGGCAGGAAGAACTGGCTCAGATTCTCTAAATTAATCCACCGGTTATTAATGGCTGGATGAGATTCAGTAACTTTTACTTATAATCAACATTTCTAGTAAAATAATTTCACTTGTTTTGATGATAGAAATCTGCTCCTTTTAACAGAATTCAATTTGGAAATATTCAAATTAGTAAACTTTTCTCTACTTTCCTGACAAACTTGATGCTTCCTGTCAAAGCAGAAGGCCACAGCCTGGATTTAAAGCCAACAAAGGATTTGGAATGGCCTAGTCAAAGTCTGAACTGAGGATTTTGGGGATGTTGAAGGGAGGGAACCAAAATGGATTGAATATTTTCCTGATTAAATCATTGCCTGATGTTTGGTTTCCTGTCCGGTGTGAATATTTTATTGATTATTGAACGACTCCCTGGGGTGTGAATACTTTTCCAGCTCGCTCAGAAACACATCCATGGATTTGAACCACTAACCTGCAGAAACAACTGGGAAATAACTGGAGCTGGACAAAACCAGAAAGTTTTTCCAGTTTATTTCAGATTTTCATGGTTGCAACCCAACAAGAGAAAGTAAAGGCCAGGGTCAAAGGTCAGACAAACACTTCCTGTTCCTGTGTTCTGGTGTGGTCTGCAGGAGCCTGATGGTGTCCATGACCGGCAGCCGAATCCATAATCTAGATTAATTTCTCAGCAGGATGAACTGTTTGTTTCATATCTTCCATCTTTTATTGCAAACATTTTTCACATTACAGGATTTTAATCTGAAAATAAAAACAGATTACAGGAAAGAACAGGAAACTCCCACCACTCTGGGTCCTTAAACACATCATCCGGCAGAGTGGTGCCGGGTTCTGGTTCCGATGGTTCGGTCCACAAACAGGAAAATATCAGAATTCCTTCATTTTCTGCAGCAGGTTATTTAAGAAGATGGTTGTGTCATCAGCCAGCTGACTGATAGAAAACTCTTTGCAAAGAACCGATAATTAAGAAATTGAGCATTTTTAGTTGATATCCTCCTGATTACCAGGAAAAAAAAATTGTTCAATAACCATTTTTTTAAAATCCCACAGTCTTTGTATGGTAATTAGATACTTATGTACTTTGTCTCTTCTCATAAAATGTGTTATTACTGATGAACTCCATTTTTCTGAATTAGAAAAAGGAAGGTACAAAAGTCCCACCCCTTCACATGTGGCATCAATGAAAAGCCCTAAATGTCCTCTCCAGATACCAAAAGGAATGAATTCAGTAGAATGCAGGGGGTGGGAGACATTCAAGTTTAGAAATGTCCTCTACAGAGGACAAAAATGAACTACTGGTAGTCAGGAGGATAGGGACATTATTTCTGCAGCAGCAGGAGAGATTGGACAACCTGGTTTTATACTTTGTTGAATCTCTGTGGAAAACACACTGAACTGTTTGTATCTTTGTAAAATGTTGTAATTACATTAATACATTTATTCCAAACCCAAATAAATCTAAAGTTTTGAACATAAATTCATGTTCTATCATATCGAAGGCTTATATTATAGTCAATTAAGTCCAAAATATGGTGAATGTTATTAAGTATCGAGCACCCTTTATAAATCCAGATTGTCAGAAATCATTGGGGATATGCCCGATTTTAACTGGTTATCATAAATGTGTCAGGAGCTTGTAATCATCATTTAATGTTATTGGTCTTAAACTATCAAGAAGAGTCGGATCTTTTCCAGGTTTAGGAACGAGCGTGATGACACCTTGTTTCATAGTGTGGGTTCATTTTCCAATATTAACCCCTAATGCCCTGCTCTTTTTGTTCTGTTCTTTCGTCTCTTCTGTTTGTATGGAGGCAGCCTGGCTCTGGTTTTTCAGGTTTTTCAGATTTGAGTACATCTGATACAGATACCATGTTTGTTGATATTAATAAATACATTTTCTTAAAAAAAAAAAAAGAATTTCTGCAGCAGGAAGCAGCGTTGCAGTTTGATGACGTCATCAGAGTCCAGCAGCACCTCTGGAGGCCAACGCTACCAGAATGATGATCCAGCAATAATAAATAACAATGAATAATAATAATAAATAATAAAACTGGATACCAATAATAATGAAAAGTAATAATAAATAGTAATATTATTATTAATCACAGTATTAATGAGCTAACGTTCTGCCGCACCTGTTAGGAGGTGGTTATTTTTCATTTCTGGTGTTTTTTTCTCCTTCATGTGTTTAAATGTGACATATAGACTGAAGTGACGTGAAAAGGTCGTGATCCTCCGAGGCGTCAGTCGTCCTCTTTAGACGTTTCCATGGCAACGGCCGCCTCCTCCTCAAAACAGCGTCTGAAGAAGTTGAGCAGCGAGGCTAGCATGTAGCGCCGACTCTTTACTCCGACGAGATGGTGGCCTTCATCTGGGAAGATCTTGTCACACACACACACACACACACACAC